AGAGAGAGAGAGAGAGAGATAAAGAGGTCAAAGTAGTTAAGTAACCAATGATATTCCAAAAGAAGCATTTTAAAAAGGCTGAGAACATGCAAGGAATATACTTAAGAAATTCTTTTATCATTAAGGTAGGTTTCCCCATCCACTAACTGCTTTTGCAGCAAAGTTCATAGCAGGGACCAACCTGCTTCGACCAAATTAACCCCACAGACCCATACCACAAGTGATCACATCAAAGGGACAACCCATGCAGTTGGGATGAGGCTTGTACATCCAGGAACTATATGAGCAGGGTCACTCTTTTATGTTTACAAAACATTTATTTCTCCAATAGTCAAATTTTCACGCAATACAATGTTTAGATAAAGCCAAAACAAGGTTGCAAATCTGTTATTATTGAGAAGCATAGATCAGAGCCATACCTTTGATATATGCACTCCCAGGCTTCTATGTACACCAGAACACTTTATACAAATAAATACTCCAAAGCTTAAAGATCTGATATAAACCAATAGCTACAGTCAAAATAAAATGCAAGAAACAAAGATAATCATGACTTACACACATCTAGGAAGAAGTAGTTGATGCAGACATTTTAAACATGAGGTTATTTCATTTAGAAAATTTCAGAACTATTGTTGCATACAAAAATAAGCATGCATGCATACATTAATGTTGTAAAAAAGACTGCAGCACTAGAAAGATATCATAGTCATTGAGCTCAGTAAAAAGATAATAACTAACAGAGGAGAAAGATGAATTAAAAGATAATCACTAGTTATCACTTTGGAAGCTTTCAGGAACTTTCAAAAGCAGACATGCATTTGCTCATATGTTGATTATTTATTGAGCATGTGATATGAGAACATTGCGACGATACTAATAATTTCTCGGCTCAAAAGACTCCAACTGCTTCAAAGAAAGTAGAAAACTGGAATTTGGTTGCAGAGGAGCTTTGGAATATGGTAACTAGTTAAATTCATGTTTGAGTTCATGCAAACAAAGCTGCACTTAAGTAGAGTTTGTCTTTATGAGAACATATTCTGATATTTACATAACTCAAAATCCAACTCAATATGAAGAAAAAAGATAAAATTAGCAACATAACTGATGGTGAACAGGAAAAGACATGACCAGGTGAGATACTAAAACAACTTTTATTTGTTCAAAATAACTTCATATTAAGTTTGCTTCAGTAGTTATTGTAAAAAGCAGGATCGATGATAAGATTTTCTCTCCATGCAAATATGATACTTACACCCATTTTGGATCTAGAGATCCACAATCTGCACAGGACCTATTGGCAGATTGATGCAACAAAATCTCTAGCCTTTCTTGTGGACCTGTTCAATGAGCTATAAGAGTTACAAAAGATACAATATGCCCTTATTGAGAATGTCACAGGGAGATCCACAACAAACAAGGACATAACAAACATAAAAAAATAAAAATAAAAACATTTGTATATTAGATAGACAAGAGAGCTTGGTGGTACAGAACTCAATTTTCAGGATGTATTAATTCAACTGGTACATGATTTTGAGGTATTTATAACACTCAAGTTTTTCAGAGGCTGAATGCATCTCTCATATTCCCACTTAAACCATCGACGCAATAAACCTTCTATATGAGTCTCACACATTCTTTGCACATACTATCTTTTCTTCTTTTTTCCGTTCACATGGTCTTTCATTTGGTCTACACGAAGGTAAAGTTGAGACATGAATAAATTGGATCATCCCTGAGCTATCTATATATCATTTCGTACTTTTAATTAACTGCATCAACCAGCCTGATTTGAAATGTTCCTTGGAACAACTCATACTGTATGTTTATAAATAATTGCTTGTATATGAGTCCTATCTATTTCAAACGGTGTACTGCACCCTTAAGAAACCTAACTTGAGTAAATTGTACGTGTTGCTAACTATGCTAACATATCCAGAAAACAGAAAAGCTTGGCAAGTCAGAACACAACAGATTTAAAACAAGTAATTGATATAAAGGCTATAGCGTACCAGATTGTGTTCGTCGGTCACTTGGGCATCTCCAAGTCGGTGCGTCTGAACATAAGAGATCATATAGGCAAGAACTTGATCCTACAAATGCAACACGTTCAATTAACTAACGAACTGCTAATATAAATTCAGTTGTACAACACACTGCAATCACTTCATCAAGTTCCGTACTGCAGAAAAATATGTTTAATATCAAGAAAGTACATGGTTGGCAAGCATGGAGAAGCATCATGATGCTGAGAAATGAAATCGTATTTGCCCTTGAAAGTTCCAATATAAAATGTTGACCAAAAGCATTTTTTCATTCCAAGAATCATACTTTCACATGGAAAATTTATCACTTTACATTATTACTCATCATGTAATGTCAGAGGTCTAAATGAAGTTGCAGGATACATCTTCTCATATATTGAAAATCATTCCAAAATACATTTATACCTGAAACTTTGTTGGGACCAGAATTATCTCGCTGGGTAGACATCTCCATCCTCCAATGATTCAGACCCAAATCATGAAAGGGGGCTACAATCTGAGAACAGCCATTTTATCAGCAATTTCTCTGCATCCAATGGATTCAAT